AGGTCTGTGGCCGGCTCCAGAGAGCCCTCACCGCATCTCGGGCTCCCGGTGTCCCGAGGGGAAGGGCAGCTGGATTAGGGGGAAAAAAGAAAGAAGCGGGTAAAGGCGACTGACTCCCGTCACCCCGCGGGAGCGTGACCCGCCGCGTGCGGGGTCACGGGTGCGGGTGGGAGCAGTGCCTGGGGAATAAGCGTATGTGGGATTGGGGGTGAGCTGCCGGCCGGGTGTTAGTGAGCAAAAGGCAGAGCCCTTTGCCAGGCAAAACAAACCTCCAGCCTTTTTTCATGACCCGAGTATCCCCGAGTACGTTTCTCTTGCACGTCTCAGCTTATAAATCGACAAAAGTGCCTTTCAGGAAACCTGCGTTTATGCGACCTGCGGAGAATTCACGGCTGGACGCTGCTTTAGGCCGAAGCCCTGAGCGTGCCACAGCCCAGACAGCGCTCTGGGCTCTGACCCTTTGGAACCGATCTGTACATGTGGCACCGCGGTTATCGCTGGCGGGGGGGGACCTGCCCGAGTGCAGGCTGCACTGCCACCGGGTTATTTTTTTATCTTGTCATTCTTGTAAACTCGATATTATCTTGTTCCATGTGCTACAACCTTGGAAAGTCTTGATGACTTTCTTCCACACCAATTTTTAAAATGTGATATTGAAGGTGAAACTGAATAACTTGATAGCCGTCCCTTTAAGCTAGGAAGAAATAAATACAAGGCGAGCCTCATCTCCGTATCTGTTTTCGTTGCAAGTGTGGAAATCTGTGCTGTAGGAAGTATTTCCTGATTTCATATATACAGACAGCATCCTCTGTACTTGGTTCCTTAATTATACGCTTCTGTGTTTCAGCAGTTGTGCTGCATCGTACGCAATTCGGTTATAATGAGGTCTTTTGATTTCTCTGCTTTATGCGTGAGTAATTGAATGGTTTGTCTTGTCTTCTCCCTCCTCCTTCACAACACACTTATTACTTTTCCTCAAAGTCATCTGCAAAATGACATTTTACAAACAACTGTGTAGTTGCTTATAGGGTCAGGAGAGTGGGAAGCGTGTGAGTACAGGCTGAAGAGAGAGCTTCTCTTCTGCAGCGCTTAAGCAGAGAGCGTACAAAGAGAACGTTAGCTAATGGAGTAATTAAGTGGGTTGATTTACAGAATGGTATCACTTTGTTTGCTGATTTCCATGTAGTTGGATTAAGCGCATCATGGAAGTTCTGTGGAGGCAGCTGGAGGAGGAGGAATTTCAGGTTACCCGGCTGTCAGGTGTATAAAAAATAAAGACCTGAAATTCAGAGTTACGCAAATAGAAAGCAATAAAACTAAACAGTTGTTATGGTATGTTAGAGATAATGTTTGAGTTGCTAGCCTTTTGAATAAATTAGATTATTCAAGTGTGGACTGTTCTTAGCATTGTTTAAAATATATGTTGAGAAGGTGCTACGATCCTTGACCTTTAGAATAAAAACAGCTTTTTAAACCAGTCTGGAGGGTACTGAGAGTGCTCCTGTGGTGCTTCTAGTGGTCTCAGGAAAGCAAGCTGTCAATAGAATGATAAATTGCTATATAGCTGTCAGCTCTTCCTCTCAACTTGTTGCTTGCTTTACTGTTTGCAGGTAACTACGGGACTCACGTGTCCACGAAGGCAGTAAATTGTCACAGCAGGACAATGTGCTGACTGGGAAATTGCTTAGCATGGAGCATCGGGCTGCTTAGCAACAACTGTCCTCTACTTCGTTTGTGTTTTCTTTTAATAGGACCAGTATTCTGTGTTCACTTAAGTGCAGGTTTCTAATTTGTTTTCCAGTTAATAGATCTGAAGCGCAAGCGAGGAGAAACAACTCTTCTAGAACAGTTTTGCTCTCCTTGTGATATCTTAACGTGGCACTTTGAAGTCATGAGATGCTTTAGAAGCTGTTGGGCTGGAAACCAGTGGGTCAGTCAGCTGAAGTGGGCACTGATGGTGACTGATCCCATGGCAGTTTGGTTGGGATGTAGCTTTTCAGCGTGTTTATCCTTGCATCTCCCTGTAGGTTGGAGTCGTGGCTGGTGATTGTGATGTACTAAATAACTGGCTTGGAGTAGGTGAAACAGAAGTTCTGTAGGACAAAATATGAATTGAATGCTAGCCTCTGGCGCTAATATTTTGACCCCTCGTTTTATAAAATCACCAAACAACCTTCGTATATATTCTGGTGCCATTCCCGATCTCTTGAAAACGTTAAATGACCTTGTGTTCTTGCAGAGGTGTCTCTGGCTGTGAAGTAGGTGGCCTTTCTTGTATTACTACCTCACCCCTGCGGTCTCCACGTGTGGGTTGTTCTGCTGCTGGGCAGGTGATCCAGCTGTTCAGTCTACGCTGAAAACCTGCAGCAGCATCGGGGGAAAGCTGGGGAGCCTATGTGCTCTCTGACAGGCCTCAGTGAATAAAGAGGTCGGGTCAAGGTGAGTCTCTGGCAGCAGCAGAACAGCAAGTCTGGAGAATTTTTTGTGCACTGTGAAGCCCTTTGGAAAGGGTTTGTGCCCCTCAGTGGTGCTGCTTCACTTTTGTTGGCAGCTTTATGCAGGTTTGTCTTGGAAACACGAGCTGCGCGTAGGCTATCAAGACTTCTGACTTCAATTGCTTTGTCCTTAACTTATCCCTCAAGTGGGGAAAACAGTGGGTAAGGGAGCAGTCCAAGTACTCTTGATTCCTGCCTGGGCTAGAGAGTCATGCTCAGAGGTGAATAATCAAGTTAGGAAATTAATTTGTATTTGTTCTGTGTTTTTTACACAGCTTGTAGCAATGTTGTTCCATTGGTGTACGTGCTGATGCAGTCAGGAGGCTTGGCATCACCTAAGGATTCTTCCTCATTCTCAGAGTTAGCAAGTTTAATTTACAGTGGGTTTTGTAAATCGATTGTTGAAAACCCATCTGATACACTGCAGGGTAATTTTTGAAGGTGAGTCATAACTGTTAGCATTATTGTATTTGCAAGCTTTTCATTTAGACACCATTGATTTTAGGGAACTATTACTAAGATTTATGAGCAGCCTTGTAAGGACAGGAAGGTGTAACTGGATTTCCTAACTGAAAGATAAGTAGCATATTGAGATTAATGAGTGGAGAATCATAAGGTACATACTTTTTATGCACAAATAACAGCAGCGAGGATGAGGTCACCAGCACTGTAGTAGTGCCTTGGCTATGTAGTTAGTGTGGCTACTCAGTGAAGTAACAGCTGTCTGTCAGCTGTAGCCTAAGGCTTTCTAGGGAATGAGGAGCTGAATGACTGGTGCACTATTTGTCCTAACTAAATCTTTCAATGTATTCTGCATTTAGCTTAGTTTAGCATCAGAAAAGCCCGAGTTCAAAGTTATTTTAACTTTGGGATGTGAACTTCCTCACCTTTTGAAATTTAACTAGAATGTTTCAATAGGAAACCAGCTGGGTTTGTTTTAATGGGAAATGAAATTCTGTGATTTCATTCTGATGGCAGCTGTTTCCAGTACTTGTATGGTAAATACATATCCACGCTCCGAGCTCATCTCTCTGGCATGTTTTTGAAAATTGAAGTGTTGAGTCCCGTGGGGCTTTCTGGTCTTGAAAATTAAGTGGTTTTGTTTATCTAGGTTCAAAAAACCTGTCCAAATCTTAACTAAATCTGGAAAACAGTACAGTGTTGAAAAGAACCTTAGCTCAAAACCATGAAGAGGATCTTTTCTGCTTTCAGATGTTTAACTGTGCGTGTGGAATGTCTCCAGTATCCAAACTGCGTTTGGGCGCCGTGGAACTGCAATACGACTGGCTTAAATAAACCATACTCCACTGGAAAGTGTTTCAGGCATTTTTAAGGAGTTGTGGCTGGCTGTGGCATGCATTATCTAGTGTATGCTGCTCAGAAGTATTTCACTTGAAAATGTGTCGTCTGCCTTCAGAATGGCCGTTTTGTGGCAAGGGTAGGAACAACCTGTAGTAGTAGCTTTCTTGATGGAGCTCTTATCGCCTGGCAATCTCACAGCGCTCTGTCTTGTTGGGTTCCTGCATGAAGCAGAAATCTGATGGTACTCTTGCTGGTGTCATTTACTGTTTGGAGAGTTATTAACCTTTTTTTCAGTTTTTTCTTCAAATGAGTAAAACTTTGGTCAGCTGTACCAACCAACAAATACAGAAAAAGCACCATTAACCCATCAAGTTTTATTTTCCTGGTTGGTGAATTATTTTATGGTAAAATTACACCTTCATTCCACTGACCGGTTGGCTGCTCACGTGAGTGGCGTGTGTATGAATAGTTCTCTATAAATTCACTGGGGAAACTTTTGTAGGTGAACTCTGTCACTTGAGAAACACCACAGCTGACCTATCCTGAAACTGGCTGCTCGGGTCTCTGCCGTAAGCTAAAGTTGGTGTCAGTCGTCAAGTGAAACCGAGTTATTACGTGATGGATGCTTCCGCTTTCGGTCTGCTCGCTTGTACTACCACCAGCTGCGTGGGAGAGCGCTCCTCTTCGGTCGGCTTGCTTTTGGGTGTTTCTGAAGATAGAAATAGTATCGTGTGTGAATTTCAGTCCAGGAGGGTGGATTGTGCTCAGGTGCTGGAATGCTTGGTGGTTGCGAGGCTGCTGTAAAGCAAAACAAAGATCTAAGCGTTGATGGCAAAATACTCTCAATTTCACATCCCCTGCAGCAGTACTTCTGTCACTTACACCTGATTGTTTAAAAAAACCCACCACCTAACTTGGAGACTAATAAAATTCTAAGGAAAGAGATTCATTCCCGGGAACACCTCTTATTTTCAGAAGCGATACGCAACGCTGACTTTCTAAAGGGTTTGTAGTTTTTTTTCTTCCAGGTCCTGTTCAAAATCAGCTGATGAATTCATCAGATGGCCAGGGATATAGCCCTTTGGTTCCAGGATCATATTCGCATCAGACGCCGGCGAAGGTTGCTCCACATCAGTCTTCTGGACAGTATAACTATAGTGGCTCTCAGAATGTTGCTCAGTTAAACAATTATCAAGGACCTGGGCAGACTCTCAATAGACCACCAGTGGCACCTTTCTCCGGGTCACCAGCACAACAGACTGCTCCTGTTCCGCAAGTGCTGCTGCCTGCATTGCAAAACTCGGCTGCTGTATCGTCCGCTGGTAGCTTTCCTCCTGGAGCTAGCCCACCAGTGCTTTCCAACTGGCACTACAGCCAGACCCCCGTGAGCCAGCCAGTTGGATCTCCAGCAAGCCATTTGGCTCGTGTGACGGGGACAGGGTCACCTCAGCCACCATCGTCGCTATCAGGAAGTACAAATCCTCCAGGAAGTTACCAATATGCTGCTTCTCCGGGAGGGCCTCCGCTTCATAACAGCTATGTGAAGCCAGGTAACCATGACTTCTTGGTACTTTGCCTCTGGCTGTTTCTCAGAGTTCTTTAAACAAAAATAATACAGAATTTACTCCTTAGCAGCATTTTGCTTGTGGAATGAGGTGGTCAAAGCAGATAGTTTGAGGAAATGCACATCCCGAATGCTGGGGTGGATTCTTTGCATCGTGAATGGAAGTCGTTTCTGTGGGCTGAAGCAGGTGTCTCCCGAATGGTGTCTCGTGTTGGGAAGCTGTGTGTGGGTAACGCTGTTTCTGTGACCTTCCCTGTTTCTTGGGGTGGCTGTCGGAGCGTTGCTGTGCTTCCCAAAGTGGCGACTTTGGGATTTCACGGTTGAAAACTGTAGCCCTGTTAAGGGAGTGTGGTCTTCATAGTTTAAAACCTGTTAGCCTTCCTGTTAATCGCTTGATACAGGTAGTTCTGAACGGTCTCGGTCTGGTTGATGGAAACAACTTGAGCACAGCCTGGGAAGGAAACTGGAAAGCATTGTGTGCCACCGAGGTAGAGGCCAGTTGAATGGAGAGCTTCCTTCCTCGCTCCAAACTTGTAATTTGCACTATCTAATGGTAATTGTCAGTCTTCAGAGAGTGCTCTGAGTGTATCAGGCTTCTGTTCTGCTGCTCCTGTGCTGGTGTGTGCAGTGGGGAAAAGCTTTTCCCACACCAAATATGTCTCTTAGGTAACTTTTATGGAAACAAAGTTAATACTCAGGTTTCTGTTTGCCAAACTGCTGTTTGTTGTTACAGAGGGCTTTTTTAACTGAGCATGCAAATAGGAGCTGCATACAGAAATATTTTAAATGCTAAAGCACGTATTTTTTTTCTTGTGAAGTGCTTTGAGACTCATTAGAAGTGTTCCTTGATGCTAGTTTTTTGTTACATGCCTCAATGATTTTGTTATGATACTCAAACTGCCTTAAGGTCACATTTTTGAAACTATTTCTGGCAGTTTATTGGAATAAACAATTAGTACTCTGGAATTAGTGAAGAAACTGCTAAGAATTGGAAAGTGGCATATGAAATAAGTTTGAGTGTCTGGAACAGGAGAATTCTTATATCCATTCAACGGTCCATTCCCTCGTGCAATTTCCCTGGTAGTTTTTTGCAGAACAGTGATTACTTTTAAAATGAATTTAGCTCGTTTTGCTGGTCACATTCATTGTTAGAACAAAGGTGTGCCAGCTCCCTGCCTGCACGGCCAACTCTGGGCAGCCCCTCAGACACAGTCTCTTCCAAATTCTGGGGTAACGTTGCCTGCATATAGCAACTATTAATTAGCTTTGTAGTATCAGATACTAAATGAACAAACAGATAAGGTCACTGGACGTGATTTTTTTTTGTTTTGTTTTGGTTTTTTTTTGTTTTCTTTCCTTCTTCCCTTAAATGTGACCATACTGTGTAGGCTCATACTTTTGTGTGTGCCTTACAGGCTTCTGTGCTGTGTGGGGAACTGGTGATACTGGGCAATTTGGCCTCATCTTTTGAAAGGCTAACTTTTATATTAAAACACATCGGTGTCTTCCTGGAGTTAGAGGGCAGTTATACCGGCCTCTGGAATAATAGGGAACAAAGGGTGGAAGTGCTTTAGGATTTGGCATTATTTGAAGGGAAGAAAAGCAATTGGGTTTCTGAATGTCTCAGCTTGAGAAAATCCTAGTATTTAAAAATAGAAGCCATTAAAAACTTTCCTGTGACTTTTAACATGGAGGGTTCAACATTTCAGAGCAAAACACTTCACACTCGCACAGCAAGTGTATTCACACTGCACACTGCTGATGCTTTCCCAAGTGAAATCTTTTTCCCAAGTAATTTTAGTAGCTATAAAATCTGTGCATTGCCAGTTTGCATCAGATTACTGAAGTGGAAGACAAGCATCCTGTTAGAAGGAATGTGTTCAGACTCTTAACTAGTTCATTATTCTCTGACTAATATGGGGCTGTACTATAACTTTATGTAAAGTCCAGGCTTGGTAAGTGAAATTGGGATGCTTTCTGCACCTCTTGAAATTCTTACCAACAATAGCTACAAAAGCTGAAAGAGCCTGTGGATAATAACTGCAGGAAGCCAGGATGGGAAGAGCATGGCAGAAACAACAGGAAGGTGTGAAACCTACACTCCCCTGAGGGTTTATGTATCTGGCGCTGCTTATCATTTGAATAAGAGGAATATTTAGAGTTCAACCTGTGTGGTTTTGTAATGGAATTTTTGTTACTTTCAACTGGATTAAACTCTTAAAAATTAATCTCTTTACAGGATCTGCACCTCCACCCGTGACTCAGCCTTTAACTCCACTCCACCCTCCTGCCAGGCCACCTTTAGCGCCTCCGCCAGTCGGTGGTCCACCTTTAATTAGGCCATCGACGCTGATAGCAGGACCACCTAATACACAGTCTCTGCTAAATTCAGCTGCAAATCGAGAAGGTAAGAAATAATTTGCCTTTTTTGTGGAATTCGAACATCACAACTTGCTCTAATATGCAACCGTTCAAGTACAGTACACTCTGCTGTTAGACAATCAAGTAGTAAAACTGATACTAATTCAGCATCATTTTATCTGAAAGAAGCAGGTAAGGACCTGGAAGGAAGTGAAATATTTCTTGTTGACAGTTGTTAATAATATAAAAATAATTAACACTTCAGTTAACACTAGATTTCTAAGTGCTGTTTAACATGTCCATATCTCCCATAGTTGCCATCTCTTCGTTTATTTTTAGTCTTCTAAAATGACATTGAAATTCTGATTTCTTTGCATTCTTGACTGTTGTGGAGGATGCAATCTGTATATAACTTCCTGTACGGTTTTATTCTGCCTGGAAAGCTAAAATGTGAACCCTGCAAGTCCTTGCCTGTTTACGTAGCCGTACCTTATTCTTCTCTTCTGTGATGGATTTGTTCATTTTCTGAAGGTTGTTAGAGGCTGTTAAGAGTGAGCTGTTGAAGACCAGTATCTGACTTTCTCTGTCTCCTGTGGGCCCTGCACAAATATGCCATTGTTTAAGAACTCATCAGTTTGTCAAAGCTGTTGGTTCTTTGCCTGTTCAGGTTGGCAGTTTCTTGTATGTGGCAGCTGCGTGAGTACGAGACACTCAGATTTAGCTTCGTTTCGAAATGCATTAGAAACTGCTTTTGCTTAGAAGGACTTTTCTTCATAAAGAAGAGGAACATTTCCAGGGCCCTGGAGAGAGAGGAATGTTTAGTCTGTGAAGTAGGTTGATTGCTGCATACTAGTAAGATCCAGCATGTAATGTAAGTTCCTTTCATTGGGTCATCTTTGAAGATTTTAATGATAATAAGTAAATTGAGTACCTACTTCTCCTTAGCAATAGATAATTGGGTTTGTATATTTAGACACAGTTATTTTACAGAAAGCCTTCCTTTGGGAGCACTCTCTCCGTTTCAAGGTTTTTCTTATCTCAGCCTTCCTTTGGGAGCACTCTCTCCATTTCAAGGTTTTTCTTAGCTGGAATTTATATCTTGACTGGTATGTGAACACATCAGAACTGTTGGTATTTGGTGACCAGTACTGGACTAAGTGTGTGAGTGAAGGGAATTTGGTGTTTCTGTGAATTATCAGTGAAAAAAGTTCTTCAGGGAACTCCGGCAGCCGGCTTACAGACGCTTCCTCTGGTGAGGAGGACACGTCCCCTGACGCTTCACTGCATATCAGCTTGGAAGTTATGGCAAATACCTAATCTAAAGTAATCCTAAAAGATCATTCAACCAGAGGTGTAGGTACTTCTGTTTACCTTGAAAAAAGATTTTGGGGTTTTATGAATGTCCTCTGCGGAGGTCATGTCAGCATGGGAAGTGTGTGTGAGAAAGATGTATATTTAATTCAGTTTTGCCCTGGACAGAAGCAAAGTAGATGCAAACTATGCTAATGTTAATATTCATCCAGCAAGTGGGATTTCTTTGCAGTTACTCACTACAGCTTCTTAGGAACTTGTGAAAATTTGTACTGGTTCTGTCTGTCTTACAGGTGATGCTACATCTGCTGCCAGTGATGGGTCTGTGGTGCAAAACAGTTATGATGCTATAGAAGGTGGTGGCCTCATGGGTAAGGCTTTTTTTCTTTACTCTTAGCTAACTTTTTGAAGAGTCTGGGAAGGAGAGAAGTTTAGGTATTTGAAGCCTTACAGTACCTGGGGGGGGACTTTTACAAGGGCCTGTAGTGACAGCACAAGGGGTAACAGGTTTAAATTGAAAGCAGGGAGGTTTAGATTAGATATCAGGAAGAAGTTCTTCCCGCAGAGGGTGGGGAGGCACTGGCACAGGTTGCCCAGAGAAGCTGTGGATGCCCCATCCCTGGAAGTGGCCAAGGCCAGGCTGGATGAGGCTTGGAGCAACCTGGTCTAGTGGAAGGTGTCCCTGCCCATGGCAGGGGGGTTGGAACTAGATGATATTTAAGGACCCTTCCAACCCAAACCATTCTGTGAGTCCATATATACTTGGTTTGATGTCTGTCTTGGAACTAAATATGAAATCTGAAGCATTGACAATGAGCCTGTCTTTGCCTGTAAGTATGGTACAGCAGTTAACAGCACTTTGCAGTTGTCCGTTGTTTACACTTCAGTTTACAACTAAACAAGCAGCCTTCCTGCTGTATTAATGCACTGAGCAAGCTATGGTTCTTCAGCAATTAATTTTAAGTATTTATCTACTCTGCCTCTAGCAACTCCACATCCTTCTCCTGCACCCCCAAATCCCAAGATGAATAGAAGTGTTGGGTATTCTTACCCTGCCTTACCTCCAGGGTACCAGAACACTTCTCCACCCGGAGCACCAGGAATGCAAGCACCTGCTTTGCAATATCCAGATGGATCAAAACATTTCCACCAGGTAAAGATTGTCTGGTGTTTTTATCTCATGTCTGCCTGTGATGAGTGTGGGTAAAGAAAAGTGATGATTAGTGTGTGTTGTGCCACTTTTCAGTTCACTGTTTGGTGTGCTGTTTGTTCGAGATGGCAGATGTAGTCAGGCACTAATGCTTTTCCTCATGCCTTGGTGCCAGTTTGGAAAAGTTTTGCCAGCTCCTCCTGACCTGTCTTCAAAAGTGTTCACAGTATCTTTTCTTAAAACTTTCAGCTGCTTTTGGCATGTTTTTCTTCCTCGGGTTGCCATTAGCTGAAATATTTGATCTCTTTCCTGAACTTTCAGGGTGAACTGACCAACACTTTTGCTGAGCCCGCTGTATTTCAGAGCTTTGTAGCAAATGTGTGCTAATTTTTACCTCTGTTATAGGCCTAAGTCCAAGTTTACGTGACGAGTATTTCTAAATACATCATTGTAATACCATGACAGTTAATACACAAAGAAAATTGGAAGGGAAGTAGGTTTGCTTTTTAAACGGACTGTGGGTTTCACTGAAATAATTGGTGTTAATTTCTGAAACGTTATTTGACTCTAGCCTGCCCTGGGTACTAATCACTTAACTGCATCGATGGGTAACCTGAGTCTACAGCAGGAAGGATTAAGACCTGTGAATCTTCTTCAAGAAAGAAATATTCTTCCTACAACCCTCTTGAAGGCCCCTGTCCCAAACTTGCATGAAGACATCCAGAAGCTCAACTGTAATCCTGAGTAAGATGATAAATTTGCTATAATTCATCAAAACAAGTGAAAGTATACATTCCTACTTGTAAACATAACTCTTTACGAAGTATTGCCTTAACTTTGTGAGTAGAAAACATTGAAACAGGCTTCGCTGTGTTACGATAAAGGCAGAAAGTGGTTTAAAACGTTAAGAGAGAAAAATTGTCGTGTAAAAAGTATGAGGAAAAATATGTTGCTTGCAAGGCAGCTATAGATAGGTACAGTACAGCTGGCAGTGAGTATGATTGAGAAAGGGTATAAAATAAGGGTTAACTCACTTCTTGAGTGAGTTAGACCAAAGAGATTGTGAAACATGAGTGACCTCTGTCTGGAAGGAACTGTTTAAAACAGTGGGGTAAATGGAATGTCAGACAAGCGTCTGGCAGTTGGTTACCCCAGTCATCTCCTCAAAGAGCCGAGCAAACTGTATGACCAGGTACTCCTGCTTTGCAACTCCTCTGGCAGATAAGGGAGATAACGGCATCTTTGTGAAGTTGGTCATACAGACAAGCTGGACTGGATTTGCAGAAGCGCTCTGCACATCTGCACTTTGTGGGAACCACTGAGTTCTGAGGTCCCTGAAATGACTATGGAGTGGTTTGTAGTTATTTTTGTGTCGTTTTAAGACAACTTTTTAAACTTTGCTGGTTCAGATTTGTGTATGAGGCCACCTCAAAATGGTATTTCAAAATAACACTTAGTACGTAGATATTTAGGGCAATTTTGAACAGTTAGGCTTAACTTGGACTTGAGTGACTAAAACGATGCACAGCTCTGTGTAAGGAGCACGTGCATAAAATAACATAAGAAGCCAAAGTATGTACTGTGGGTCAATCTCAGACTAGACGAGAGTGATTTGACAGAGCTGGAGAAGATCCTTTACCTGGAAATGGAAGTTCACCATCACCAGTTCTAGAAAAATCTACAGGATGCTTTGTACTACTGAAATCATCGTTTTACTATCTAAAAGCCTCTGAAAATAACTCTTTGTCCTCCATGTAGGTTGTTCTGCTGTACCCTGACTAACATTCCTCAAACTCAAGCCTTATTGAATAAAGCCAAACTTCCTTTGGGGCTCCTGCTTCATCCTTTCAAAGACTTATCGGTATGACAAATACTCAACCTTAAATGCTGAAATACCAACTATACCTGTATTAAAGTCCAGAGTTGGACAGGCAGTTGTAAAAGAAGGGCAAGTATGTTGCTAATCTTAGCCCGGAAAAGTTAGGCTGGTATCTGACATTTCCCTGTTCCATATAGATCGTTGTAATTTTTCCTTGCCATGTTTAAACTTTTAAGCCTTGCTTCTCAATAAAAACCAAAACTTCCAAACCTCAAAAAAACAAACAAACAAACAAAAAAAAAAACCAAACAAAAAAAAACCCCACACCAACAACCACCAAAAATCCAGAAGCTTAGAGGCAGCACAGCACTCGGACTGTGACAGAAGTCACATCTAAGTTCTGGTATTGCTTAGGTAGCTTTAGTGCTAATTCTTAATTAAGAATCAAAGTGAAAGGGGTTTTGGATGTCCTCAGGTAGCCAGGAGACTGTGAATTTAGCAGTGCCTCTTTTCAACATTGTTTTTTACAATTTAAATAATTTTTTTTCAAGGATGTGGATTTTTTTCTGATTTTTTGGATCTGGATAGGGTGTAGAACTTGGTCTTATGTAAAACTCAAGACTTTAGAGGCCAAGTTTGGGTGTAACCAAATAGGTTAGAGCTCAGTTCTAACCAGTCTTACTGAGGAATTGTAGAGGTGCTGTGAGGATGCAGAAGTATTTCGTCCTTGGACAAGCGTGCTCTGACTAGCCAACCAGGAAGCACAGTGCAGATAATGATGTTGTCGCAGACGTACTGCTGTGTAGTGTGGTGATGCTTTAAACCAGGAAGCTTTTCTTTTCCAGCAACTGCCAGTGGTCACCTCAAGTACTATTGTGAGATGCCGTTCCTGCCGGACATACATTAACCCTTTTGTCAGCTTTCTAGACCAGAGGAGATGGAAATGCAATTTGTGCTATAGAGTGAATGACGGTAGGTTTTAAATGTGCTTATTGCTTTAAGCTGTTAACCTGTCCCACCTTTGCTTTTGAGGCTGTAATATTGTTGGCCGTATCAGTACTCGGGATGGTTGTCAGTCGTGCTGGAGCTGAGAGACAGGAGAAATGTTTCCCATGGGCAGAGAGCATGGTCACCGCCTGACGTGGTCTCCCAAGGTGACAAAGTAGCTGCCCTACCTCGTGTAATTCTCCAAGAAGCGTTGCCCCACCGGATTGATCTATTTGTTTTAAAATGCACTACAGCTAATCCTAGTGTGAAGTAATAATATATAAACTTATGTCTATAGTTCCTGAAGAATTCATGTATAATCCTGTGACAAGAGTTTATGGAGAACCTCATAAAAGACCTGAAGTCCAGAATGCTACTATTGAGTTTATGGCTCCATCTGAATACATGGTAAGGCTTTATTTACTCTTATTCTCTCCCTTTCTTTTATTTCCAGAGGGAAGTCAGAAAAAGCCTTATTATACAGGATGCTTTCCAGCTTAGTAGAACAGTTGCTGCCTCAAGGAGCGTATCTGAGAACCCTTGGGAAAAACTTCAGATAGTTCTCCATTTCTAAACATCTGTGATGTCAAAGTTGTTCTGTACTTAAAATATTAGGGTGTGTGTAGGTTTTCTGGGAGAAAACTGTAATTGTAGTACTGTCCAGTAAGTGCTTAGAAGTTTTAGCTGTTATCTATGTGCTGTTTTAATAGAGCTTAAACTTGCAGTGGAATGAACAAACCCAGCCTAATAAATGTCAGCTTGAAAATTAAAGGTAACCTTTTCTTTCTTCAGCTACGTCCACCCCAGCCACCTGTGTACCTCTTTGTGTTTGATGTTTCTCATAATGCAATAGAGACAGGATACTTGAATACCGTCTGTCAGACCTTGTTAGACAATCTGGACCTGTAAGTACCTTTTGCTTAGAATCTCTTATTTTCATGACTCTGCTGAAACTTGTGATAGACATCAACATGCCAGCAATTCCTGTCAAGAAGAGAAGTTTCCTAGCATTGGCTAGCAATGGCCAGTGTTGTTTAAAATGCAGTATAAAGCTGTAGTTGTCTTTTTTTTTCCTTCCCATCACAGCTGCACTGGTATAAAAAGTACTTTTGAGGCTTGTTTCTCAGTCTGGCTCTTTCCTATCTGCTTCACCAATCCCAAAAAAAGAATAAACATCATGTTTGTGATGTCTGTTTAACTGTATTTTTTTAAAAGCTGAAATTTAGATAAGTATTTGCTGAAAGGAGTGCATACATCTATAAACTTTTTAATAAAATCTGTGCTATTTCAACTTACATAAATGCTGCTTGGTATTTTGCAGCTTGTCTCATCCTTTTCTTCCATTTCTTATTACCATCTTAAAAAATTTCTTGAGTGTCTGCTATGTGACTCTACTATGAGCTCCTTTTTTTTTTTTCCCCCTCCCTCCTCCAAAATGACTTAGTCAAGCTGTTGCAGTGTGGCTGTTAAGCCAACTACTTGGTAAGAACCGTGGACAGGTGTAGTGGATGTTAAAAAAAAAAAAAAAGGGGGGGGGGGGGGGGAGGGGGGGATTAAAAAAAAAAAAAAAAGGCTGCCGAAATGAAATTTCATCTTGCTGAACACCATATGTCTCATTTTTTAGGCTTCCTGGGAACACTAGAACAAAAATAGGCTTCATAACATTTGACAGCACAATCCATTTCTACAGTCTTCAAGAAGGTCTCTCTCAGCCTCAGATGCTGATAGTTTCAGATATTGAAGGTATGCAGAAATAACTTCAGTGATTATTATTAGTATCTACTAATGACTGCTGGTTTTGACAGCCTTTTTCAAAATTTGATCTAGTGGGAGTTGGTAGATCAGATCATTAGTCTCTCTGGTAATGGCTTTAGAAGTAGCATGTGTCTAGTTCGTTTATGAAGCCCCTGATGTCTGAGCAATGCTGTGGCTGCTTGACTTCAGATGCAAAGCCAGCCTTCCTAGCTTCTAGATAATTGTACAAATGAACCTAGATTTCTCTCATATTCCCAAATATTGATGCTTGGTAAATTGTTGTAGATTGTGTAGTGACTGGTGCTCAGTGCTTGTCATTTTGTCTGTAGTTTCAAGTCACTTTTCACTGCATGGTATGGGGTGGGGCAGAACGAAGGCTAGAAAATCTTTGCTATGCGTTTTTACTTAAGTCTGGTTATCCTTGACTGCTATTCTAACGTGGCATTTTAGGCACAGGTGTGCTTATGAGAAAAAAGAAATCCATGGAGTTATGTTTAAATGGGTTTACACATTGATTAGTCTTTTTTCCAATAGTTATAATGATTGGAAAATACAGTTGTGGGAAATTTAATGTGTTATTTTTAAAAATAACTTAAACACTTTTTTCCCCTTTCTTCCAGATGTATTTATACCAATGCCAGAAAACTTACTAGTAAATTTAAATGAAAATAAAGAGGTAAGAACTACCTTAAATAACTGGTGACATTCATACAGTTTGAGAGATGCTTGATAAAAAGCATTAAGTAATCCAGAAGTTAACACCTACAGTTTAAATGCCACATTCAAGGTGGAAAAAAGCTCTTTTAATTTATCAGTGTGACTGTAAACATCGGCCGAGCCTGAAACAAGACAATGCTTGACTTTTGCTGGGGCTTTTCCTTTACTACCTTGTTACTAGAAGTGTGAATATACGTTTATGTATGTTCAGCAGTCAGCTTTATAAAGAAGAAAACTCTTAAGGCTTAATCATTTTGTTTTCTTAATTGCAGCTAATTCAGGATTTGTTGAGGACCTTGCCACAGATGTTTGTCAAGTCCCTGGAAACTCAGAGTGCTCTGGGGCCTGCATTACAGGCTGCCTTTAAACTGATGTCCCCCACTGGAGGGAGAATCTCTGTCTTCCAGACACAGCTCCCGTCTGTGGGAATGGGAGCGCTAAAGGCACGAGAAGAGCCAAACCAAAGAGCAACCGCAAAGGTTAGAAAAGCAAAATGGTTGAGAGAGCTGAATACCCTGTTGTCTACACATAGGTGGGTGTGGGGTTGCCTCTTTGGGGTTAATTTTGGGGCTTTCTTGTTGAGCTAACCTTCCTTTTTTAAAGTAGTACAAAGAAGAAAAAAACCCAAGCACTATAACCACAGATTTAATGATCTGATTTATTTTTTAAGACATCACTGTGATCAGTGATGGACAATTAATTATTAGGGTCCCTGAAGAGAGGCATTGAATGTGTTCATCTGTTTGAATTTCCTTTCTGTTTTGTACTGCTCCGTGGTATTGACAGGACATACATCTGACGCCATCGACTGATTTTTACAAGAAGTTAGCTTTGGACTGCTCAGGGCAGCAGGTTGCAGTGGATTTATTTCTTCTTAGTGGACAATATTCTGACTTGGCTTCTCTAGGTGAGTCATACCACGGTGTTCAGGGAGGTGTATCACTTGCACTTTTGGCAAATACATAGAATTTACATTAACATTTGATATGTGAACCTGATTTGAATGAACCTCGTGTGTCAAGATGCAAATTTCTCCTTGATGAGCCCTGACAGTGAATGGAATGTCATTTCAGTCCTTCCTGATTTAAGCTAGCTGTTTTTGTATTCTCTCTTAGCGAGTCTTGTGATCCCGGTATAAGTGGCTGAAATACTTTCCTTCTTTTATGCCTCTTAACCACCAGTCTAAACATCTTTTGAGTGAGCTTCATTAGAATTTTATTTATTTTTTCCTCTATTTAACCAAGCTTTGAAGTGAAAAAGTACCTGTAATCTCAGCCCAATGGAAAATTATTTCATACCTGAAACTACAGCTGTGTTACGTCTGTAACTGTGTTTCAGAGCTGGTTGCAGGTGTCGGCAGATTAATAAATAAAGGGAATATTGCATTCAGCTGGCGTTTTTCTTTAAATGAAGACCACAGCAGCAACTGTCTGCATTCTGCCAACCTATGTTGCTTTGCTTTCAGGTTGTATATCAAGGTATTCTGCAGGTAGTGTCTATTACTACCAGTCCTACCATCATAAACACAACCCTGTCCAGGTGGAGAAATTGCAAAAGGAACTGAAACGATATTTAACTAGAAAGATTGGGTTTGAAGCTGTCATGAGGATAAGATGCACCAAAGGTTTGAAGATCTTCCTTTCTGATTAGGGGGTGGGTGGGAAGGGAAGCAAGTGTTGGCTGTTATTTGGGAATGTTTTGATTGGTATTTGGGCCGTTACGTAAGCTTAAATGATTAAAAGATAAAGATCAGAAAAGTAAAACTCAGTTCCAGGAAACCAGACCAGTATTTGCAGTGCCTTCACTAACATCAGAGTTCCATTTTACAGTGGTTAAAAGTGGAAATGTTGGACAGCTGTTTCAAGACTGTTTTTATAGTCTAGGGACTTGCTACTATCCTGCACTGATGTGACTTCCAGACTCCTGCTTTCTGCTAGGCTCTGTGGACTCTGTGGATTAGCTGTCTGTCTAGGATATTTACCTTTCCTGAAGACCCTTTGTCATTGAGAAGGGTCTTTTAGATTCTGATACAGAGCCATCTAAGAGCACTGGCAGATGTGTGTGTCTTTTACATCACGACTCTCAAAATAAAACTGATTCAATATACAAAATACAAAATATACAAAACACAACGCTTATCTTGCAGGTCTCTCCATCCATACTTTCCATGGGAACTTCTTCGTGCGATCTACAGACTTGTTGTCGTTGCCCAACGTAAACCCGGATGCAGGATATGCCGTGCAAATGTCAGTAGAAGAGAATCTTACTGATATGCAAGTTGTTTCTTTTCAGTCAGCTCTCCTGTACACATCCAGCAAAGGTAAGCTGTATGAGTAGGGTGAGCAGTACGGCACTCAGATGGGTCTTTTTGTGCCCGTTTATCAGCTGCAATTTTATAATTATGCATAATAATGATTGATAAAAAATCACTGAAGTTGCAGTAATTTACACAAACTATTTTTTTCTAATCTCAAGATCAAAGCTGTGATGTGTTACTGCTTCTTCCAGACCAAGAAGCCTCTTGGTACACTTAGTCGTGGTCTGAAAATAGGTAGATTTAACCCAGAAACTGAGAACTAGCCATTTTTAAAAGCAACTGGAGTTGGCTTGATGCACCACTTGTACAATAAATTAAATAGGGTTTTTATTGTTTGGGGTTTTCTTTTGCTATTGACAGTGCCATTTCTTGTATTGTGTAATAAAAGTTATGTTTGGAGGCTACAGTTTTCTTTCCTTACAGGTGAAAGACGAATTCGTGTCCACACCATGTGTTTACCTGTTGTAACAACACTGAGTGACGTCTACTGGAGTGCCGTCTCCGGGGGGGCAGACGTACAAGCCATCACTGGGCTGTTAGCCAATATGGGTAAGCATGATACTGTTTGGGTGTGTGTCGATGATATCCCTGAAGCCCTGAGCAGTGATCCTCTGGAAGGTTACATTAGAAGAAAAGATTGTCTAAGAGTGCTTTCC